TCCCCCTATCCGCCACCTGGGGACGCGCCCGATGGGTCGCCCAACTTGCACGGGATCCTGCGACTTAACACCGTTAGATTTCTTTTTGTAGGGCTATGCGAAAAATCGTATTTACGCTAACAATCCTCAAACTCTTGAGCAACTGAAAGCCATTATCCGTGAAGTTATGACCGAGATATTACCGATAATGTGCCGAAAAGTCATTCAACAATACCTCAAAAGGATTGAGACATGTAGGAGTTAGGAGTACATTTAAATGATATCGTTTTTCACGTATAATGGCAAGGTTTAATCTTTATATTGAATTAAAATTTCGTCTCCATCTGAATATTTTGTGTGTGTTTTTTACTCTACTTTCCCAAGCATAAAATGGATAACCCTGTAGCAATTATAACACAAGTGCTAAAGAAAAAAATGTTATACTTTAACGAGTTATCTCAAAAGTATTATCAACATTGTAGGGCTTGTTAGGGATAATAAAATTAATTATTTAGATACGTATTGAACGCTAAACAATATTTTTGTAAAAAGTAGACTAATCTAATGGATTTTTTCCATAAGCCCATATTGTACAATTTTATCATTAATAACATAACAATATACAAAACTATCAAAATCCACAGAAAATGTTTTTTAACAAATGACTTAACCGCCGATGGTCCACCATTTCCATATACCAATAAATATTTAACTTTTATTAATTCGCTGTTTGTTACGACAAAATATTTTTCTGGAATTTCTCCATAGCTATTTTGATTGAGGGCTCTTTTCCTATTATTTTCATCTGAAAAAAGGAGACTTACAACACCTACACCCAGGGCTTAAGTGAAGTAAATTGAAAGGACATTTTACCTTTGCACTTTACATTCTCTTCATCATTAATAACTTCACATACTGCTATAATACTGTGTTTGGTTCCTATAGTACTGTGGTTCCACGTTTTCGCAAATGGAGCATAATTTGTACATATGGAAATTTCATTGGAGAGATATACTCCGTTACCAAATATAACTTCCTAAAATAAAAGAATCTTATGAATCTCACTTCAATCTTATTTTTTACTCGGATTCAAATTTCACTCTTTCACAGATTAACATTAAGCGCAAGACTTGCCGTGAACTAAATAATAAAGAATGAGTTTTAAAAAGAATACATACAACAACATGATTTGTATTTAGTTATGTCACAAAAGCAACTAAAAATGTATGTTTAAATACAAAATTGTCACCAGAAAATGTTTGAGGAATTGTGTTTTGTAAACACTCGTGGCGTTAATATTTTGTAAAAACTGTGGCATTCAAATTAGCAATGATTAAATGAAAATGATGCATGTGTTACCTTTTCACTACTAAAATGCTGCTGAAGTCCAATCTTTAAAATGGAATAGAAATTAATAACTGGGCTACCATGGAACGCGTAGAAAACAGTTTTAGACCTAGTTCGCTTCATCCATGTTTCATCTATTTTAGGACTATAATTTACCTCAAAAACATGTTGAGGTACTGGGTTAATACTGGCCTTTGTATTTAATACCGATACTGGCAAATTCTCCTGAAATGCTTACAATGTAATACATTCGTTGAAAATTCTCTAGAAGCGGTGTTAAAGATTTACATGTTATGAGTGATTTATATGATGATGTTGAGGCACAATTATTCAAAAACATAAATAATGTTTATACCACCGAATCCTTAGTTAATATTGGGATTCCAGAAGCAAAAAATAGCCACAGTAGAAGATCTGCAACATCTTGGGGTATATTTTGTGCAGGAATCCTCAAAAACTCAGACAATGGAGGAATTTTATCAAAGGACTTCTTCTGCAAAATAATTTATAGAAAATATTACACATAATGTTGAACTTCAAGAAACAAGATGCGGGTCTGAAATCATTAAATAGTTTTCGCTTACCAGGGAAACAAAGTCCTTTTCATCTTTCTCATTTACAAAATATTGTGGAAATGGACGTAAGCACTTATCAGCTCGGAAAGACTTTAAGGCAGCAATGAAGATACATAAGACGAGGTCACATCCTGGCAGGTTTTTCCTTATTAAGTCCTTAAGTTTATTTATTTTAGAAGCACTGTTTTCTTCATTCTGTAAATGGGCCTGAAAGATGTAAATATTATTTTCATTTGTATACGTTTGATTTTCAGTTTGTGTCTCAACCCCTTCATTTAGATTAAGACGGTTGTCTCTTTCTCCAATCTTCATTTAGTAATTCAATCATTCAACTAGTAATTAAACAGAAAATATTATTTTCTAAATAATTATTTACTCTTTCGTATATGTGGCCACTTGAACTCGTTGTGCGGATGGGAGTCAGCTGATTCTATTTTGTTTATAACAGATCACGGCTGGATTGTCTCTGCCTTTGTCGGTTATACAGAATTTGTATTTATTGCTCTCTATAGTCCAGATTCTAGACGATTTGGCAAATGCACCATTACTTGCAAACAATGATTGTGACGAATGATAAATACTACAGTGGTTTTTCCTCGATATAAACGACAGAAAGTGTGTTAGAATTTTCCCACCGCCAGAAACCACAGATTTGAAGTCTTGTCCAAAGTTTGCTAGAATATTAGAAACTGGTTTTTGGTTTGTATATTGTTAACTAATTAGCTTATTTTTATTGCAAATTAAGTAAACTTATATCTTGACAGAACATTTAACAAAAATACATATTTTTTCGCTTTAATTGGATAATTATGTTATCCCTCAAATTAAAAATCCTATTTGATCAGCCTAGTGGATCATACATCAAGTAATTTTACCTCAAGTAGTGAAATTTTTAATCGGCATTTGTTCGATGAGATTGTTGAACAGGTACGTATTAAATTTATTCTACTTCAATAACACTAAGGCCCGTTTGCACCGTTCAAAATGAGCTTCGCTTTGCCATTAAGCTCAGCTTTAAAATTAAATTGGTTTGCACCACATTATAAAACAGGCTTACAGCATTCAAAGCTCAGCCGTTTTGATTAAAGCCGTTTTGAATTAAGCCGTCAACTTTGGTGGCTTATGGTGTTAAGCCGTAAATTCTAACCTTCGGTTTCCTTCCTCATACATGTGGCGATAGTTAACAAAACTGAAAATTGCGATAACAAACAAAAAACAAAAACAATGGATATCAAAACTTGTTTTGGCATATTTGAAGACGATCTAGATATCTTTGAGGTAATCGAATTTGGATTTCCTAAGAAGACATATAACAGAAACAATCCATTGGAGGGCTTGGAGGAACTACTAACTTTTAAAAAAACATTTGGGTTCTACGAAACCACCACAAATTTAAATGAATTGGATTATTTAATTGATATTGATCCATATAACACTACAACAATTCATTAATTATTTCAAAAATTTGCGTTAAAATTTTAGTCTATCAGTACAAAATAAAATTTCAATACCTATATAAAATGCTTTAATAAAAAATTGTCAAAAAACAGATGTATTTAAAATATGAACGTTGGGTTGGAAAACACTCTAATCTTGTCTTAAACGTGTTCTAAACTGAGGTTAATTGCTCCATCTATCTTCTCAATCGAAAAATGTCACGTGTAAAGATAGAATGAATACATGTATTCATTGTATCATGGTAGCAAACGGTCATAATTCCACATATGGCAAACAGATCTGCTTGACACCTGCTTAACAAAGCCAACAGCAGATTGGTACGGTGCAAGCCGTTTATTTTAAAGCCGAGCTTAATTTTTAAGGTTGGTTTATGTAAGCTTGGCTTTAATATAAAACGGTACAAACGGCCCTTAATATTTCCCTTAAATGGCAATAAATCTTGATGCCACGTTTTCGAAGCAAAAATCTGCACAAGAGCTAATATTTCGCTGCCAGTGCTTGAAACATAAAAGGAAAGGTTTTAGGCCGTCGTAGTAAAAAAATATTTCGGACGTGTTGTAAAATCTGCTGATTTTGCAGTTATCATCAATGTAGAGATTTAGTTAAAGATGCCTGTAAGAAGAAAGATAATTCGGACTTTTGCTCAGATGTTGTTGTTGTTGTTGCTCTTGTTCATGACAGAAATAAAACTAGCTTCATGAGCCCTGAGGATGGCTTAAATGATAGCCGAAACGATGATCCAAGAAAAATTGCCTTTTATTTTCTGCAGATTCTATTAAAGGATAAAGCCAAACAGACATATTTTACTAATTATCATCTTCGGTCACCAACACCAAGACATTAGGGACTGTCAGAAAGGAATTAAAAAATAGCCGGTCTTTTTAAAATCCCTCAACATTGATGTCCTTCCGAATTGGTAAATTGTCCCACTGCATACCGCGTTTCGACTTGAGCAGACGCACCAGTGAATTACAATTCCCTCACCATTCATGTTCACGTTATTCGACAAACAGTGCATTTAACCCAACTTAAACGGGTTGTCAGAAACTTAAACAACGGACAATTTACTATGACGAGAGTTTAAGGTTTTCGTACTTTACTAATAAGTAATTAGCAATAGCTTGCATACATTAGACCCACTAAAATGAAGTGTTAAGAAGCCGATCGACCTGAATGGTATCTGAATATTACAGTTAATTTATCTTTTCAAAGTAGTATAACCTTACTTTTGCGAAGTTCACAAGTGCATTTTAGTTTACAAGGGAAGTTTTGGTGCAAGTGAAGTTTAATACGGCATTACTTGGTGATTCAGTGATTGTTTCTTAGTTGGAAATCATATATATTGGACTCAAGAAACGTTAACATGTCTCTGATACTTGGTAAGTCAAAAACTAGAGTAAATATTTTCATAAGCACCAAGTTTGCTTTAAATCTCATATCTAGGTAGAACTTCTCATTGATAATAATTTTTTTATTTGCCGTTGAATATGCAAATCTACTTGAATAACTGTTCCTTAAATGCCAGCTTTTTTCATTACATTTCGTTTGTTATTTTTGCTATTGTACTTATACACCACAAACTACATAAATACTAGCAGTACATAGATATTCATATAAATTTCTTAGCAAAGTTGCTAAAATATTTCGCAGTCTGTTTAACTTAGATAGGTTTGCAAGATTTAGGTTTTTACCGCCTTCGGCCTCGTTTCTAGCAGGGTTGCACAACTTTTGTGTATTTTTCTCCAAAAACAAGTTGCTGATGTACCATTATTTCCAATTGCATTTGTGCAATTGTACCTACTGTTTACAAATAAAGGACACTTCATCAGGCATAAAGTTCATTCATGACCACAGTGATTTCAAATTGTTATAAAAAATGATCTGATTATCTCATAGATGTAGATCTTGAAGCTAGACACAAGTGTAAATCCAGACTCGTTTATGCCTATTTGCCCATTTGCAATTGATGATTAATTTCTATTTAGGTAAAGACAGAATGATACGTTTCAAATTGTCACCTAGGTATTTATCTCACTTTTATTCCAACTAATTTTGCATCAGCATTTTTTAACGTTTCAATACTCGCATGCCCAATTACTTTATCCAAATGTAAACCCATCTTGCTTATTCAATCAATTAGATAAATTATTTCTCTAATTAATGGTATTTTTATACCAGATGCATAAGTACCGATAATAACAGATAGAAAGGGTGTTTAGATTGAAATATATTGCATAACATCTTCAGTTTTTTAAAGCATGTACCTATAAGTAAATAAATGGCACTCGTAGGAGATGAAAACACCATGAGAACTGTTCCTATACCTGACTATGCATCTCACATTCTATAAATACTCGAACTCTTCATAAATAAGGACATACATATATATGCTTGCTAAACTTACCATGAGAAAGTTTGATAAAAATACAATACTTAAGGTTTTATCTATACATGTACTTTTATTAGCTATTTTTAATTGGAATATTTGCGATTTTTCTACATCAACTTTCATGTTAACCAGTTCAACTTCGAAGTCAATTTGCCATTTTATTTTTTGATTTTTGTAGTAATTGGCATTGGAACAATAATAACATATGCAAATATTAAAGAACATAGTTATGCAACAAGTCAATCAATTTCAAGGTAGCTTCTATTGCTTATATGCCTCATTCTTTAATTAATAAAGTGTTAATTTAATCAGTTTTGACAAGTATATGCAGCAATATTTATCTTCGCGTTTAGTTGACTTAATATGCTTCAAATAAGTGTAGTATTTTTCTAGCATCAACTGAACCACTTTGAAATACATACATACTTAGTTGTTGCTTTAAAAAGGGTGTCTCATCTTTAATATGTAAGCTATATAAGATTCAGCTTTCTATAGCAAAGCCTTATTTAACGGCTTGCTAACATGTAGACTCCGGATTAAAAAGCACTAAAATTGTCGAAAAACCGCTTGAAAATCAAATTGATTTCTCACAAAAAAGCATAATAATATGGAAAAAAAACATTTTATATGTTCAAAAGTGGGGCAAAAAATGTAATTTTTTAAGATGTTTTACGTAAATGAAATTAAAGTACTTAATGAAATGTGTAACGAAATAAATGAACCACGTTTTCTAAAATAAATTTATTCTAATTAACTTCAAAAAACTTGATCAAATTTTGCCTGGAACTACAGTTTATTCTAAATAAATCCGAGAAACCAGCAAGTGAAATTAGTATTGTTTCAAACACAAAATTACGTACCACTTAAATGTTTATTTAAATGTTCCATTGTAAAATTGTGAGGTCTACCACTAGTATTCGTTAGTAGAAAAACTTCTCTCCACGTCTACCCTTGTTACAGGTGCATATCTAAATTTTGTCACCATTGCCGGATCCATAATTCGGTTTTGTGCGATTTCTCCATTTGAAACCGAAGAAAGATTTTCAAATTCTTCGCTTTTTTGATAAAACATTGCATGCAAGGCTGAACGCAATAATTTTTTGAACCGACTCAACCAATGGCATTTGTTGTTTTTCTAAAGAATTTATGGATTCACTTGCAAAAACTTTAAATTACGTTTTATAAATACAAGATAATTATTGGTCAGTTCTTTGTTTTCTATAACCACATGACAATCTTCTCGGATATATGGTTTATTTTGAAAATTTGACAACGTTTCACCACCTAGTTGTATACTTTGAGTCATACAAGAAACAACATAGGAACTCATTAGCAAAAAATTTTCGTGTCACAGGTACACTAAGGTAAAAGTTCGTTTAGGTTTCATTTACAAATCTGTGTTGTTGCTTCCAGCTCTGTCGAACAACTTAAATAACTTTTGGCCGGAACGTCTTAATTAAAAACGTTGCATTTACTTAAGTGTGCACACAACACATTTTATTATCACCCAAGCACTAGTGTGGTTTCCTGAAAACTATCATAGTCGGTTGATGTTAGTGCATATATTTTTTAAACTGGGCATTTGGGTGGATTGTTTTTATTAAATTGTTGGTATTATCAAAATAAAAACGAAAATAAGAGCGAAACATTTAAATAAGCACAAACATTGCAAAAAAGCATTAAAAAATCTGTCAAATGACATCTGTTTGCACATTTCATCCACATTGGTTAACAAAACCATATTAATTTTATTATTTAAAAAAGCGTAATGTTTCTTTATCAATATCTCGAGTTGAAACCGTTTTTATAAAACCCACAAAGTAGATATTAAGTTGCGTATACTGACGAATTAATTGATGAGAAGTGATAAAATTGGCAATTTCTGTCGTCGTTAAATGGCATTTACTTATAGAAGATCATGCACAGTGAAGCTGATTAAAAGTAATCAGCTTCAGGTTGGTTGATTGATTGCAAGCATTCAATTCCCTGCAGACACGAAAATATTTATTTTTCAGTATTTTGAATTGTTTCGAATTTGATAATAAATCAAATGTTTTTAGTAACTAATCCAAAATGTTACGTTAAAAATTAGATGACTCTGACGATCTGACTGATTCATACAATCCGACTGTTGCCTGTTGTCGCCATCATAAAAATATTCTTAAAAAGACAATATATTCAAGCGGAACAATCTCAATTTTTAAATATAATTAATTTTGTACGAAATTTTCACAGATAATATTTGAAATGATTCTCTCGAAAACAATTGGCAATAAGTAGAAAGTCACTTTGGTGGTTGATTCTAAATAAATTCATATTAAGAATACATGTGCCATGCTATTGAAATGAATATAATTAATTTTAATATAGAAGAGGCCATCTTTAAGTTCTTCAGGTTTAATTCAATTATAAATAGTTTCAACTCGCGGTAAAAAAAGCTAAAGTTCTAGGTTAACATTAAATGAAATAGATGATGCAAAATATTGCTTTTGACTGACTAGTCTTTTGTGTTTCACCATTTATTTAAAAATATGAAACTTTTTAAGACAATTTTAGAAAATTAATTGCAAATAAAATATTTAATTTCTATACACAAAAAAAATTATTATTCTAAAAGTTTAATTCAGATAGATTTATTGTTCACTTAACTCTTTAACTTTTTACATTTTGTCAATTTATCTCACTAATCAGACTATTTATAAACGGAATGAGTTTTTAAACTTGATTACATCCTTACTTGCATCTTTCTCCATGATTAATTACGTCATTCAAATTTATTTTTGGAGCATGATTGCTGATTGGTTGAAATTGTCCTCTTTGTGATCTCCCGTTCTTTTACAAAAGCTTATGTGACAATGCGCATTGCAGTGTTAATAACTTTGGATCTGACCTTCCGGTCGTAAAATTATAACTATGTCAGAAGCTTTTTAATAGATGATGAGTATTTGACTATTACGCAATTCAACCTGCTGTTGAAGTTTTTTTGGGCTATTATTAAAAAAAGGGACTATAATCTGCATTTTTTCTTTATGTAATAAACTGGTTTTGGGATCTGTGCAAATCTAAAGTAAAGAATCGATTCAACAAGCTTTTGTTATTATATTATTTAGAATTTAAATGTTGCTGTTGGTTGTTTATTAAATTTACTTGTTAATTAATGTTTACTAATGTATGTATTTTGTGGCGTTTATAGCTGGTTTCGAAACGAAAATTTACAAAATAAAGCTAGTATGGTTACCATGTAATTGAGATACGCCCTTCTGTCGTAAAAGTGTTAGTATGTACAGTATGTATAAGAAAACAGTACAAGACGAACGATTACCCACGCCCATGTGATTACATCAACAATTATCTATGGCCGTAAGCTTTTCTAAAAATGGATACACCAGTTAAGTCAATTCTATACACGAGTTCTCATAATTCAAAGTAAATCCCTCGGCAAATTCTGTTGACTAAAAGTAATAAAACTCAATGTAATCATCTCCAGAATGACCAAAACTGATCATTGAATTTGTTCTTGATATCGATGTTAACATGGATTTTGCCCCTTATTGCCAAAACAAAACTCTATGTAATTTTTATGTGTCAAACGTGAAACTAATACAACAGTAACGATTTTAGTTAATTGGTTTGAATATGTGACAAATTATATTTGGTTCCATACATAGGTATGTCAATGTCTGGAGAATCTTGAACAATACAAATCAAGGGAACAGGCATATTTTGAAGTTACTTTTCTCGTATCACAGGGTATGTGATTTACATCTTTTTGCCGAATTCTAGCTTAGTTCTTGACTCATGAGTCTCAATTATTGCCGTTCTTCGATAGATGAATCCATATATCCAATCAGGGTCGTAGATTAAGTAAAGATTTTTCGATTTTTTTTTATTTCTCTGTGTAGTGACATTTTACTATACAATACTGATGTTTTAATTTTTTTCGAATCGGTCAAATTTTTATTTGGGGAAAAAATCACAGAGATTTTAGAA